CCTGGTGTGACTGTCCCTGGTGTGACTGTCCTGGTGTGGCTGTCCTGGTGTGACTGTCCCTGGTGTGACTGTCCCTGGTGTGGCTGTCCCTGGTGTGACTGTCCCTGGTGTGACTGTTCTGGTGTGGCTGTCCCTGGTGTGACTGTCCCTGGTGTGGCTGTTTCTAGTGTGGCTGTCCTGGTGTGACTGTCCCTGGTGTGACTGTCTCTGGTGTGACTGTCCCTGGTGTGACTGTCCTGGTGTGACTGTCCCTGGTGTGGCTGTCTCTGGTGTGACTGTCTCCCTGGTGTGACTGTCCCTGGTGTGACTGTTCTGGTGTGGCTGTCCTGGTGTGACTGTCCCTGGTGTGACTGTCCTGGTGTGACTGTCCTGGTGTGACTGTCCCTGGTGTGACTGTCTCTGGTGTGACTGTCCTGGTGTGACTGTACCTGGTGTGGCTGTCCCTGGTGTGACTGTCCTGGTGTGGCTGTCCCTGGTGTGACTGTCCTGGTGTGGCTGTCCCTGGTGTGACTGTCCTGGTGTGACTGTCCCTGGTGTGACTGTCCCTGGTGTGACTGTCTCTGGTGTGACTGTCCTGGTGTGACTGTACCTGGTGTGGCTGTCCCTGGTGTGGCTGTCCCTGGTGTGACTGTCCTGGTGTGGCTGTCCCTGGTGTGACTGTCCTGGTGTGACTGTCCCTGGTGTGGCTGTCCCTGGTGTGACTGTCCCCGGTGTGACCTTCTACCTCCAGCCCACCTCCAATCAAGCACTTCTGGGACAAACAAACTTGTTTAGGGAGTGAAACCACGTGGCCTGCTAATACCCTGACAACCACAGCCCCAGCATTCCAGGAAGCTGTCTGTCCCTGGGCAAGAGGGGTCACAGGTTAACTCTGGCCAGCCAGTCTACAGAGACCCCTTGGTAAATTCCAGGCCAGTGAAAGAGCCTGTCTAAAGAAACAAACAAAACAAAACAAAAACCCAGGTGGATTACACCTGAGGAACAGCTTCCAAAGTTGTCCTCTGGCCTCCACATGAATATGAATGGACACACACACACACACACACACACACACACACACACACACACTCACTCACTCACACACACACTCACTCACACACACACCCTCCAATGTATCAGTTTTGATGAAAACACTTTTTTAAAATATTGCCCTTGAGTCTGACTAAAGTGTACTTATTAGTTCACTTATGTGTAACAACTCCTCTCTTTCCATTTTTATTGAGAACTCCATTTCCACAAACTCTCACTCTGCTAAAAGCAGGAACTATTTTAAAAATTAGGTTAGGAGTATTTTCCCCTTTCTTTAAGTCTTTAAGAAGTGGACAGAGAAGTAGGCTATGCTCTACTTCTGGAGGAGGGCTGTGCTAGCTAAGGAACACACAGAGGGACAGCAATAAAATACATCCTCTCTGTTCTGAAAAATGGGCAGCAGTAGAGCAGAAATTGTCCATTACACGCCTTTGTCTCCTATAGAGGAGAAAGATGTGGGTTTGTATACTTCAAGACTAGAGAAAAAGACAAAGAAAGACAAGGTCTGTAGAAAAAAAATAACAAAACACAGAGCAAACTAGGGTAGATTTATGAATGGCCAAAAAGAAAGAGGGAAAAAGAAACAGCTTTTGATGATACAGGAGCAGTAGCAAGACGTTCTAAATCAAGGAGGCCTGAAGTTCTGGGGATGGAATGCAGGGCTTCGTGCATGCTAAGCAAGCACCCCATCAACTGAGCTGACCCCTAACCCAGGACCAAATGTTTGAAAAGTTACTTTCTGATTTTTCACTGTTAACTAGAAGAGCAGGAGAACAGATGTCTCTGCAAATCAGCCTTGTCTCGTGATTGGTCTCGTTCAAAACGATTTATTTGTTTTATGTGTATGAGTGTTTGCCTGCATGTATGTACGTGTGCCATGTTTATGCTGGTGCCTGAGGAGGCCAGAAGAGGGCGCTGGGCCTCCTGGAAGTGGAGTTAGAGTCTGTTGTGAGCACCACGCGGGTGCTGGGGACCGGCCCCTAGAGGAGCC